GCTTGGGTTGTTACCGACATCTGGTGAAAATTTCATGTCATTAGCACCTCTAGTAATATATTTACTGAGAAAAATGTTGACGTGTGCAGTACTTATTTTACCCGCTATATCTAGGCGTGGATATGAACTTGGTTAACATGACAGCGCAGCTGTCACAGGCCAGACAAGAGACGCTACTGACTCTGCTGTCACAGGTCAGGCCCCGCATATCAGTGACGGCTCTGACCATCATGTGCCTCTTAGGAATGATGGCAGCAGGGCATGCGGTGGTACCACTCGGGCTGCTACACATGAGGCTCCTGCAATGGAGGTTGGCACGCTTGGGGATCGATCTGACACGCGGCAAGTGCAKGATCGTATCGATTCCCCTTTCAGTTCAGGCAGATCTGAGTCACTGGACAAATCTGCAGACGTTGTCAGCGGGAGTTCCCCTGAGCAGACCAACGCATTACATAGCGGTTTTCACCGATGCGTCTCTCTCAGGATAGGGGGACATGTCTGTCCCAAACGGTGGGGGGCCTCTGGAAAACCCCCACAATTCCTCACATAAATGCCTTGGAACTCCTGACGGTGGGTAAGGCGCTTATGCACTTCATTCACTTGGTCCAGAATCAACATGTTCTGGTCCACACAGACAACAAGGTTGCAGCAGCATAAATAAACCGTCGGGGGGGGGGTGCACTCCCATCAGTTGCTGGACACAGCCAGAGAACTTCTCCTCTGGGCTCATGTCCATTGATGCTCGATCAGAGCGGTGTACATCCCCGGTGTGCTAAACAGTGGAGCGGACATTATGTCCAGAAGAGGTTCTCGGGACAGGGACTGGGCCCTGCACACGACCATAATCATGCAAATCTGGGAAAGATTTGGCAAGGCGGTAGTGGACCTGTTCGCAAGCAGACAAAATGTGCAGTGCGACCTCTGGTTCTCCCTGAGCTCCTGTGACAACCCACCTCTGGGGGTGGACACGTTTGCATCCCAACCATGGCCAGACAAGCTGCTGTATGCTTTCCCCCTGGTTCCTCTGATCCCACGGCTCCTGGACCGGATCAGAGAGGACTGACAGAAAGTGATACTGATCGCCCCGAAGCGCACAAGCGTGCATTGGTTTCCGATCCTACAGTCACTGCTGTCAGATCATCCGCTACAGCTGACTTGGCAGGGGGACGCTCTCCTGTAGGCAGGAGGAGTGATCAAGAACTTRCCAATACCAGGCCAGCCCCTCTGGGCTTGGATGCTGAACGGTGACGCTTGTTAGATCTGGGTTTATCGGACAGCGTGGTGCGCACCATTCAAGATGTGCACGCAGCTTCCACTATTTACCTTCTTACACAGCCAAGTGCTCAGCTTTTCAGCGCTCYTGTGTGGATAACCATGCGGACCCAGTCTCATGTCCTCTGTCCAGCATCTTGTCATTTTTACAGTTGCTAATGACAGAGGTTTGGCCTTCAGCACCGTTAAAACGTACGGTCTCCTCCTGTCACGAGGGTTTCTGTGACAGGACTGTGTTTAATCACCCACTGGTGAAACGTTTCCTGAAAGGAGTGTGCAGGCGCAGACCGGTTGCACGCACATTTTTGCCACAGTGGGACCTGTCACTTGTCCTACGTGCGCTGTCCAAAGCTCACTTTGAGCTGCTGGATCAGGTGGCGCTTAAGTATCTTTCACAGAAAACAGCGCTCCTGCTAGCGCGGCAGTGAAACGTGTGGGTGAATTGTCAGCCCTGTCGGTGGTTCCATCATACCTCAGTATTTGCGGGGACGGCAGTATGGCAATTCTGCATCCTAACCCGGCTTTTACCCCTAAAAGCATATTGAGCTCATATAGCTCCAGAGTTATTACTCTGAATGAGTTTTTTCCCACCCCCATCACAACTCTGAAAGGGAGGCCTCCTCTTACCTGCTATTTCCAGTGTGTACGCTTTCATGTTACGTGCACAGCAGGGATGAGACGCTCTCAATGCTTATTTGTGCATTACAGAGAGCAATCTGCGGGACAGCCCTTGTCTCCTCAGAGGTTGTCACACTGGCTCTGTGAAGCCATATCGCAGGCGTACATCTCATCAGGCTTACAACCACCAGATGCATTATCTGCTCATTCCACAAGGGGGYTCTCTTCCTCCTCTGCTTTGCTCAGAGGACTGTCAGTCCAGGAGATCTGCTCAGCTGCCTCTTGGTCATCACCCTGTCCTTACGTCCGTTTTTATCCGCGTGATGTCTCGGGCTCCCTGACTCACTCCGTGCTCGGGCCCTTGTCAGAGGGATGTGTTTTATTGTATATATTATGTTTTCCATCACAACAGGGTAATTATGTGACGTGAACAGTTCTGTTAAGTGAGTTGTTGCTCCCTTTGTACAGTATGGGCAATGTGTGATCTTTTCTCAACAGACACATTGACCTGCCCATGTGCTTTTATGCACGTACTGTCACAGGGATGTTATGTTGTTTCGTAGGCGGGATTGTACTTTATTAAGCCGGTGTGGCACAGACTACATCTGGCTCTGCCTCTATACCATCAGGCYACAGCCTTACAGGGCTATGCTTACACTCATAGAAGCCTGGGTTACAATACGTAACCATCGTTCCTGATCAGGCATGCGCAGTAAGACACGATTCTCTCCCAGCAGTGTAATGGTGATATGTATATATAGAAATTGATTTTTCCTTTTCCTTATACATGCATTTTCATCAAAAAAAATGTATATTAGCAGATATACCTGCCGTGGGTGGGTAGTTAAGAGTGATCTAGTCAAATTGGATTGTCAGCATACACGGCAAGATTTTAAAATTGTCAGCCAATTTTCAAAGACTGAGAGACCCCACATGTGAAAATAAAAAAAATCATGGCTATACCAGATTTGGTCCTACAGTGTGTGGTGTACAGCCACACTGCAAGGGACAACACACCACACACACGGACAGATTTTATGTTGAATATCTTTGAGATCAGAGAGGTCCCGATGTCRTTCCGAGCCAACGAGATCACTCTTAACAACCCATCCATGGCAGGAATATCTGCTATGATTATCTTTAGAGRCATCACAATAATCTGTACATCTTTAAGATTGTCAGAAGGGCAAAATCYGGCCAGAATTTGGCACAATTACCCTGCTGTGTGACGCAGGCCTTAGATGACTGACAGACTGTAAACTTGTTGCACTCATTGGGCATGGCACAGTTTGTTCTGGAGAAGTTTCTAGAATGTCCCCCTCCAGATCAAATTGAAAATTGCGACCGAGTTCTTCATTTCATGCCCAAAGCAACTCCTTAAATAGGAATTAAAGAACCTTGTTAGAGAAACTGGTGGAGCTGAAACTTATTGTTCTTCCTGTTTCTGAACATGCTGTGTGTTTTGCTTCTGTGTTGTCATCTGCTGGTTCTCCCTTTGAAGGGGGCAAAAAAATTGTGGGTAAACCTCAAGCGGTCTCTCACACGCCAGTTGTCCGATTTGCTAGACTGCAACTTTAGGCCCAAGAAAAAGCTCAGCTAAAACTGTTTCAGTTGGAAGTGAAAAATTTGGAAATTGAAGCTAAAACAGCRGTGATGCTACGTCAGCTGCAGCTTGAAGCTCAGGCTGACTGTGTTTCTTCTATTCCCTTTTCCAAATAAAAGTTAATTACTATTCACTTTATTTTATAAAAGTTGGCCATATCTTTGCGGGGGAGGGGGGGATTCTTGGGTGGCAGGGTGAAGTTGGGAACCACAGCTCTAGATTATGAAAAGGTTGCGTATGAACTTGTTCCAGAGGCTTTCAGGCAAACATTTAGGTCTTTTAAGAAAAGCCCCAGTCAGATGATGAGTTTGCCAGAGAAAAAGGGGGTCTTTTGACAAGTGGTGTTGTTTGTGTACTGACTGTAACATTTTAAGAGGATTAATTTTGTAGAAGAGTATTGTAATCCACTTAAATGAACATAAAGTAGATTCACTGTCTGTGGCTGCTCTTTTAGCTGATAAATATGTGCTTACAACTCAAAACTGCTTTTCAATCTGTTCAAACTAGAAACCCCTCTGTTAACCCCTCTGGTCTAATAACAGCTACTGGAGGAGATACAATGAAAAACGAGAGGTAAGCTCTGTAACACTYTCAGGCAACATTTTTCTGAGCCAGCCCATTAGAAAAATATGTGCCAACATTTTCTGTTCAGGTTGTTTTACTTACAAAAAGACTCCCAGTACTCCACAAATGATCCAGGTGAGCGCGCCTGCTTTATAACTGATTTTTGTCACAACATTGTTTTGGCAGTGGGGACACAACATCTGGCCGGGAACATCTGTAGGTAACTGCTGCACTACCACCACCTGGTTCACTGTGAAAAAAAAAAACACAAAAACCTCAACCACACCTCCTCACCGACACATGAACCGAACCGAATATGTGGCTCATTTCTGAGTTCTAAACTTATTATCAATGAAACAATAAAGTCAGAGACAGGCACTTACCTGGCTGCACAACATGCTGTGTGGAGTATTGGTAAGACACATGGTGAGCTAGACACAACCAATAGAAATTTAACTTAAAAACGTGAATAATACACAAGCAGATGAAAAAACTAACAACATATGCAATCAAAGCAACATCACTGTAAAAGTAAGACATAATGCAGTGTAAATGACACAAAGTACAGATTTTAAACCTTACCAGCCTGAGGATGTTGCTGGGGAAATTGCTGAGGATATTGCTGGGGTTGTTGCTGGGGTTGTTGCTGGGGATATTGCTGGGCTACAAGTTGGGGAGCAGCCTGAGCAGCACGTGGATCCTGGTTAACAAGCATACTTTGGTCCAAAGGTGGACCAGGATAAGGTGGTGCTGGGATGTCCGGAAGGGTTTCTTGAGGTGGTCCACCTTTTTCCTTTCCTTTTTCCATTGTTCCTGTCCAAATGAGCCAAAAAAAATAAGACTATAGCAAAGATTTAAAATACTAAATATTCCCTGTGGCTCTTCTGACCAAACAGAGGTAGAATATAAAATCAAAGACTGAACCTGAGTGCAGGTGGCGGACCCCCCCCCCACCCCCCACCCCTATAAAAGAATATAAACTTGCCAGTCAAGTTGGAATATTTTCAAGTAATGCATGAGCAACTTTTAAAGCAACATTCCTTGCTTTGATGCAAGCAAACAGGTTTGCTGGGATTGTTTCTTCAACCTGTAACGCTGGTATCTGTCACAAATAGAACAAGGGACAGTCACAGCAGGTTTATGCTCCTCAAACCTTGAAAAGTATGACCAGATGCATTCAGTTCCAGTGACTAAGGAAGGTGTTGTACAAATGTATTTGGAAGCAAATGATCCTATAGCTAAAAATAATGTTGCARACTGGCACTCCTTTATTATTCTACAGAGGAATGTGGTGAGACTAGATTGAACTGAGTGTGTTTTGTAAAAGGAATGAAAAGAAGAGATTAAAGGGCTACACAGTGGAACAAATACTTAACAGCAAGAAGGTCACAGGTTTGATTCCTGCCTGCAGTCTTTGCGTTTGCCGTGCATACAGACAGGTCCATGCAACAAGAACAAGGGGAGAAACACAAGGCTGATTCTGTTTCTGCACTCTGCCACACTACGGTCAAGAGGTCAAGTGAAAAGTGGGATRCTTCATGCTATATCCGTATATAGTTACATCCATATGTGTTTGGACAAGGACAACGWTTTCCTAATTTTGGTTTTTGTACCACAATGAATTTTGAGCTAAACATTTCAGATGCAGTTAAAAGTTCAAACTCGGCTTTACTTCAGTGGGTCGAACACAGTGGTTGAGTTTGTGAGGAACTAAAGCATCTTTTAAACACAATCCCTTCAGTTCAGGGGCTCAAAGGTAATAGGACAAATTAAATAATTGTAAATCAAACGTTCACTTTTTAATAGTTGGTTGCAAATCCTTTTCAGTCAATTACAGCCTGAGGTCAGCTGCAGTAGAGACCTGGCAGAGCATCAGTCAGAGATAAAARGTATCGTCTGGTGATGTCTATATGTTCCAGAACTCAGGCTGTATTTGACTGCAAAGAATTTGGGATCAAATATTAAAAAGTGAACTTTTGATTTATGCTTGATTATGTTGTCGCATTATTTTTGGTTCCTTAAAAAGTGGGAGGCACAAACACAAACTGTAGTAATTTGTACACCATTTACCTGATTTGGATGTAAATACCTTCAAATCAAAGCTGAAAGTCTGCAGTTAAATCACAGTTTGTTTATATCATTTCACATCCATCATTACGACAGAGTATTAGGGCCACACAACGAGATATTTTTAAAAAATTTTAAATTACGTGAATAAAGTCATTATATTACAACATTGAAGTTGTATAAAAATAAAGCTATGAGAATAAAGTTGTAATATTACGAGTTTAAAGTCATAATATTACCAGTTTAAAGTCATAATATTACAAGTTTAAAGTCATAATATTACAAGTTTAAAGTCGTAATATTCCAGCCTTTACTACACAAACAAGCATGCAGTTACCACTACATTAAAATGAGGAATATTGAGCAACTTGTCAAGTTGTTCTTTAGTATTGCTTTAAATAAATAGTTAATCTTTTAGCACATTAGCATCAAATTATCTGTAGCAGGACTTGGAAATTGTGCAAACGACTACAAACTGAAGCTGTATTGTTGTTAATGGATGCACTGACAGATCTAGTCGTCACAMAGCTAATTTGGATGAAAYCATATTAATCTAACASTGARCCAAGTCATCATGGACTACTTTATAAACACAGASACATGGCTGTACACAGCAGGTGTGGGGAAAATAAGGAGGAAATGAAGAACAGGAAATAGACACGTCATGATTATGACTTTTTTCTCGTAATATTGCGACTTTAATCTTGTAAAATTATTACTTTAATCTCGTAATATTTTGACTTTATTTTCATAAAATTACAACTTCAATCTCGTAATAATAATAAAAAAATCTTGTGTGGCTCTAATACTCCGTTGTACTTCATGGTGTTTCCTGCCAAAAAGATGAGACTTTTCTATGTCCCAGCATTAACGGACCTGACTCTAGGAGGCTTTTCTACATCCATTTCCTCCTACAGACCAAAACCATAGGTTAACTGGCTTCTCTAACAGTCACAAGGTGTTAGTGAGTGGATGAAAAGTTGTTTGAGTCCTTGTGATGAACCAGCATCCAGGTTGTACCCCACCTATCATCCAATGATCTCCCCCTGACTTGGACCAGGAGCAAAAAGAGAACAGATCCAACTAAAACTGATGCCGACTGAAAATGTGTAAAAACAAAGCAGCATTTCTGAGAAGTGATTCCATTTTACAGTGAAAGAAAACCGCCTGTGTGAAACAAAAAAAATGTTATCAAGAAAACCTGTTCAACAAGTATTCAGCCAAGCTTTGCTATCAGCTGGCATCTCARCTCAGGAGCTTGTTCACCTGAATAAATCATGACTGCGTTTCTTTTTCTTTCTTTTGGTGTAAGGGTGTTCCAAATTTTCCACTTAGATATGACACATTGTAAGTCATTACATTGTAAATTGAATGCGCGTGGCATTTTTGTCAGTGCAGATGAAAACAACTGGCTCACTGATAATAAACTTTTGAGGACAGATCTTGTTTAACCAGTTGGTTCTGGAGCCAGAGCTGAGTTTCAGTTTCAACACAGTGGCCATCAAAGTTCAGATTTAAATGAAATTTTATCCAAATAATAGCTACCTTATCTGAAGTTACATTACATTTTTTGCCTCTAGCTGTGAAAGGCCAATCGCTTTTTCAATATTATATAAAACATAAGAAGTGCTCTCCTGACCGTGACCTCTGAACCTCGTCTCTCAGAACCACACTGAATGTTTCCTTTAAAGTTACTTTTAACCTACACTAAAAAAAACTGATTTGTTGAATTTACTTAATTGCTTACACTAAACGGAGTTGAGTAAATGTAACAAGATTTACACAAGCAACAGTTAAATACATTTACTCAATTTCATTGAGTCGAACCACTTGACATAACTTGGTTAAGAAAAGTCAATAAATTCTTTTTTTTTGACCTAATGTCTGATGTTTCTTGTAGAGTCAGCTATAGTTTACAAAGGTTGCTTGAATTAAAAGAAAAATGCAAACAATAAAAACAGTATTTCAACAATATTCTATTACTCTAGTGCAGAGGAGCCCAAAGTGGGGCCCGCGGGCCAATTTTGGCCCGCCACGCCATTTGGTTCGGCCCACCAGCAGTTGTCCTGGCTACTAGGATGTATTCACCTGTTTAATGTAGAAACACTATTTCCACTTAGTCATTCCAACRATTGTCCACCTATATAGCTATATATATATATATATATAGATATATATATATATATATATATATATATATATATATATATATATATATATATATATATATATATATATATATATATATATATATATATATATCTGTAGTACTGACAGTCTTAACTTACATTATTATATTAAAATTAAACATACAAGTAACTACGAGACATTTAGATCAGATTTAAGCACATTTCTAGATTTGCATACTAAGACCACAAATAAACAAATTTTAATTTATGAAAATCCTCATGAGCCTTTGGTGCTCGAGTGTATGTCAAATTTTCTGCATGTCCATTGGCTAACAAAAAAGTAACAAACAAAAAAATGCGGGCCACCAAATTGACTGCTATCTTAATCATGAAAAATAAAACAACTTTACTTAAAAAGTATTTGCATTTCATCTATTATATCATTGCATTTGGCCCACAGCCTTCAGATCGATTTACATTTTGGCCCTCCCAGGGAAAATGTTTGGGCACCCCTGCTCTAGTGCTTTTTAGTCATTTATTTATAAGAAACAAGCACAAAACAGCTGTAGTAGTACATTTTTCTCTATTCCTTTTACATAATCTGTTAATTTGTTTTTTCTCACCTGAGGACAAATCTGCTGATTGTCTTGAAGGAAAGTTGGAGGACAGCTTTGCACTTCTGTCTTCTCTGTCACTTCAGAGCGAAGTCAAAAGACAATACTTTACTGATGTCACGTCTGACAGGAGGAGGTGCGATACTGGATAAACAGGAAAAGGTTGATTTTCCACAGAGCTACAGTACACTTTCTATTGATTTTTTAGCGCTTTGAGTGTCCTGGTTGGGTAGAAAGGCGCTATACAAGTACAGTCTATTTACCATTTATTAGAGGTCTGCTGTAGTATTTCAAAGAAAACAATGTTTTATAAACTGTCACTACAGGCTCTTAAACAGGGCATAGTATCACACAGAAAGCTTCAGAGGTTCATTAACCAGTCAGACTTTAAAGACTTCAATAAACTTTAACCTGGAAATCAGATATCAAATATACTAAATAATTGCTGCATGCTGCAAATTTTAATATTCACTATTTATTTTTAGTTTTATATTGTCACCTCCAATGGCATGAAAAGTTCCTCTTCAACAAACTCAAAGTGGCCCACAGGCCGCCAGTTGACAATCAAAGTTGTAGAACATTTGGATTAGATGCTGTTGTGTGTGTGTGTGTGTGTGTGTGTGT